CGCCATCACCGACCCCCTCCTCCTCACCACCGCCCGAAAGCGCCGCCGCCCAAGCTCGGCCAAGCCCTCGACGTCCCCGTTCAGCGTCGCCGTCGTCCCCTTGCCCTAGCCATCACCTCCCCTCCTCCTCTCCAGCTCCCGAGATCGCCGCCGCTGAGCGTCGCCGCCGGGTCAGCGCCGTCTACTCCTCCTCGCCATCGAACTCACCCCTCGTCATCAGCCACGCCTCCGATGGCATTTGAGCTCAGCCCTCAGGTTCATCGCCGCCTCCGGAGCTCGACCAAGCCCTCGACGTCTGCCCTCATGGCTTCGAACAAATTGAAAGAGTCGACGTCTTCGAATTCTTCAAAATCAAAGCCTACCTCTTCTAAATGCAATAATCCTCCAACTTCGTAAGTAATTTGCCATAATATATTTAATTTTTAACTCTTTCTGAATTATAATTTTGTTGTAAGCCATGATGTATAATGTTTGTGTTAATAAACTTGTTAATATGCGTCTTAATTTGCCCAAATATATTTAATTTTTAACTCTTTCTGAATTATAATTTTGTTGTAAGCCATGATGTATAATGTTTGTGTTAATAAACTTGTTAATATGCGTCTTAATTTGCCCAAATATATTTAATTTTTAACTCTTTCTAAATTATAATTTTCTTGTAGGGCTAAGATAACACACTTGAGAATTCCGGTCAATTTGTGTTATTTTCGAGATTTAATTGATAAGTGAATAATATTAGATGAAAGACACATAAAAGCCCTACAGACGACACATTTTCACAACTTTCTCAATATACCCAGGTCCTTGAGCAATGAGCAAATAGCAATTGATTGCTTGATTCAAAATTTTAATCCTGATAAATGCTCATTCATGACTGGGAATAAAAATTGTGTGTTCGGTATAGATGATATTCACCGAATTACCGGATTGCCAAAGGAGGGAATTCCGATAAAAATGAGTGGGGCAGCGGCTAATACAATCTACACCTATTTTGTAAAGAATTATAAGAAAGCCGATGAGGAAAAGAAGGCGGTGATTTCGGGGAAGCGCGATAGAATGGCCGAGATGATTGTAGATATGATTAATGAAGACCCTATAATATGTGTGAAACTTATTGTGGCTTTCATTATCGGCTTCATATTATGCCCGCGGACATGTAAGACATGTCCCTTGTGGGCGTTTAGATATGCGGAGCAGTTATCAACTTTGCATAAATATAATTGGTGCCATGCGGTGTTCACTTTTCTTTGCAAAGATATGAGTAAATCAAAGAAGTCTCTTAGTATGCGGGAATTAGGTCAGCGCTCAAATGGCGGGTACATGGGTGGTTTTTCCTCCGTTTTACTGGTGAGTTACATGAACATTATTTTGTATATCTTTTCATTTTGATAATGATTATTGTTTATGCACATGCTAATGTGTAGTTTCTTTTTTGTAGGTTTGGTTTTATGAAAAAGTGGGGGAATTAGAGTATACTTCAGATGTTGAAAGGTTACCGTTGCTTTTTTGTGTGAAGAGTACTGGAAAGTGGAGGAGGACTACTATGAACAAATTATATAGAGTCCCGAAGTTGGTTACGGATAATGGCCAAGAGAATACTCCTCTTATTCATACGGCATCTCCAATAGTATTTGTACATATCATTGCTCTAATAGTTCATTATTTTATGTCCCTTTTGTTAGTATCTATGTTTGCAACTATAGTATACGTACTAATACTAGCTTTTTTTTGTCAAATAGGAATCAAGGAAAGCTGAATTAATTTTCTTAATTGCGGAGAAGACGTACGAGTTGAATGAGCTCACTACAGAATTACGAGAATTAGAAGAGCGTAGTGCTAGATGCCAAAAAAAACCAAGGAGAAAGAGGATGACGGAAATGTAACTGAAGAAAAAAAATCAAAGAGGATATGGAAGCTAAGGAATATGAGAATTTGGAAGGAACTGGGGAAGCCGATTTATGTGATGACTTTGTGTGAGCGCAAGAGACATGAGAAATTTAGAAGATGCTCGGTGAGTTTAGTTTTTTAAGTTTTCTTGCAATTTTAATTTTTATATTTTCCATATAATTATTGTGTAACTCTTTGTTAATTATATGCCTTCTCGACTCTATAGAGATGTTTCTCAAAAAGATGAAGGTGGTAATGATAATAACAGAGAAACGCCATCTATCAAACGGGCTGTCGGAAAGAGGAAGAGGAAGGATGGACCCTCTGTTACTTCACCTTATATGCCTCTAGATCAACCAAAGGAAGGCACAAAGAAGAGACGTGTCATCCAGATATTGGATAGTCCTGATGGGAAAAAAAAGTACAAAAATGAAGAAGGCTTCATACCTACATCTAGAGACTATCCAGGTAAGGCACTGGCGTTTGATTATGAGAACAAATTAATTGAAGACTTTCTACAATCGAGAATGAACAGGTAACTGTTACTGACTTATTCTAATAATAATCTTTGAATTTACTTAATTCTAGTAGCAATTTTCTCACAATGTACTTGCATATAGTGATACGTACATTTGGAAGTGTGCCGAAGCAAGCGTATCTCGCTTAGATGCTTATATACTATTAACGGGAGGTGAACTCAGTGACGATGTAGGTTCTAAACAATTGTGTTATTGTTTGTTTGATGTTGTATATAAAATAATTTATATTAACTATTTCATTCATTCATGGTAAATTTTGTAGGTGATCGATGCATTTGTTATTCGGCTTTGTAACAAGATTGAAGAAACAACTAATAGTTATGATCGAAAGATACATGTCATAAGACCTTGGCTTGCAGTAAGTATATCCTTGTTTTTTCACTAATTGGTGGATATTATTATTATGCAATAATGTTGATATTATTGCATCTTTTAGCAAGCATTTCTAGAAGGAAATCTTGAAATGGTGGCAAAACGAATGAAGGAAAATGTTTCTCAGCAGAAGTTCTTGGAGTGTGAAAGAATTCTGATCCCGATTGTCAGCTCCGGACATTGGCACCTGGTAGAGTTAGTGAGAGAGGAGACAAAATTCTATCACTACTCCTCAATCAACTCCCCCATTTATACCGCCGATGCTGTGAAATTTATAAATAAGTTTATGAGTTTCATTGAGAGTAATTGGGGATTGGGGAAATTGGAGCATCATGGTCTTGTGTCAGTTGCCGTGCCACAACAAGGACCGTAAGTGTTTCATGCATTTCTAATTTAATTGTTCATTTTTTTGTTTCATTGTCATTTTCAATATTGTAATATTTTTCCCTTAAATGCAGAACGTTAGATTGCGGGATCTTTATGATTGAATTCATTAACAGCATTGTCGAAAAACGGTCGATAACAATTTCAAAAGGAGATTGTGCAAAATATAGAGCAAGGTTTTGTGCTGCTCTTTTGTATGCACGCGATTCACCTTTTTTGTAAATATTATTTTAATTTTCTCCAAGGTTTTTGTTGTGTATTCAATGTTGTAAGTATGTTCATGTTGTTAATATATTGTTAATTGTTTTGCGTGTACATTTACAGACAACTACGTTGTTGTTGTGTGTTGTAAGTATTTTCATGTTAAATGAGAAGTGAGCTAGGGCTAACATAGCCACTAGAGCAAAAACTAGTGCTAGAAATAACGCCAGCCCGCAGTATAGAACTAACTCGAGAAGGGATAGAACTAGCAGAAGGGCAGCTAGAACTAACAAGCGTGAGGTAGGGCTAACATGGCCACCAGAGCAAACACTTGTGTTAGAAATAACGCCAGCCCGCAGTAGAACTAACTCAAGAAGGGATAGAACTAACAGGAGGGCAGCTAGAACTAACAAGCAGTTAGGTAGGGCTAACATGGCCACCAAAACAAACACTTGTGCTAGAAATAACACCAGCCCACAGTAGAACTAACTCGAGAAGGGATATAACTAACAGGAGGGCGGCTAGAACTAACAAGAAGTGAGGTAGGGCTAACATGGCCAACAGAACACACACTTGTGCTAGAAATAACGCCAGCCCGCAGTAGAACTAACTCGTGAAGGGATAGAACTAACAGGAGGGCAGCTAGAACTAACAAGCAGTTAGGTAGGGCTAATATGGCCACCAGAGCAAACACTTGTGCTAGAAATAACGCCAGCCCGCAGTAGAACTAACTCGAGAAGGGATAGAACTAACAGGAGGACAGCTAGAACAAACAAGCGGTTATGTAGGGCTAACATGGCCAACAGAACACACACTTGTGCTAGAAATAACGCCAGCGCAGTATAGAACTAACTCGAGAAGTGATAGAACTAACAGGAGGGCAGCTAGAACTAACAAGCGTGAGGTAGGGCTAACATGGCCACCAAAACAAACATTTGTGCTAGAAATAACGCCAGCCCGCAGTAGAACTAACTCGAGAAGGGATAAAACTAACAGGAGGGCAGCTAGAACTAACAAACGTGAGGTAGGGCTAACATGGCCACAAAAACAAACACTTGTGCTAGAAATAACGCCAGCCCGCAGTAGAACTAACTCGAGAAGGGATAGAACTAACAGGAGGGGTAGAACTAACTCGAGAAGGGATAGAACTAACATGAGGGCAGCTAGAACTAACAAGCATGAGGTAGGGCTAACATGGCCACCAAAACAAACACTTGTGCTAGAAAATAACGCCAACCCGCAGTAGAACTAACTCGAGAAGGGATAGAACTAACAGGAGGGCAGCTAGAAATAACAAGAAGTGAGTTAGGGCTAACATGGCCAACAGAACACACACTTGTGCTAGAAATAACGCCAGCCCGCAGTATAGAACTAACTCGAGAAGGGATAGAACTAATAGTAGGGCAGCTAGAACTAATAAGAAGTGATCTAGGCCTAACATGGGCAATAGAACAAACACTTGTGCTTGAAATGAAGCCAGTACGAAGTAGAACTAACTCGAGATGGGCTAGAACTAACATGAGGGAAGCTCGCGTACTAACTAGGAGTAGGCTAGGGCTAACATGGCCGTGTGAACAAACACTTGTGCTAGAGATAACGCCAGCACGAAGTAGAACTAACTTGAGAAGTGGTAGAACTATTCAGGAGGGCAGCTAGAACTTACATAACCAATAGAACCAAAACTTAAACTAGAACTTAAAGTTACCTGGAGGTGGAAATAGCACGAGATCAGCTAGAACTATCACATTTAATCTAGAACTAACATAGTCATTAGAACACAACTAGAACTAACATAGGCATTAGAACCCACATTTAAACTAGACCTTGCGTTAGCTAACACGAGAATGGAAAGAACTAACACGGAAACGATTAGAACCCACATTTAAACTAGACCTTGCGTTAGCTAACACGAGAATGGAAAGAACTAACACGGAAACGACTAGAACAAACATTAACCCAGGTAGAACTAACATATTCAATAGATCCAACACTTAAACTAACATTATTTACTTGCACTTGGCTGTGAAGGTTACCGAGATATTATAGGTTTGACTGCATTCATTGTTTTTGCATAGTTCCCAAGGTTGAAGAGTTAACTCACCTTGCAAAAGTGCAGTCCCAAGGAGGAGAGTTATGATAAAAGAAATGATAGGGGTGCACCCTTGGGCACACCACCAACCACATAATTGAGGATCCGGGTTCAAAGGGATATGTCTTTCTTGGGAACACGCGAAGTTAGAGCTAGCAAGAAATAAGGTAAAACTAACGCGATCTAAACAAAAGCTAACACTTACTGTATTATAACTAACACGAAGCTAGAAATAACAATAAATGGGAAAGAACTAACGGGGTATCAACTAGAACTAACACTTACTCTATTAAAACTAACCAGAATCGAGTTAGAACTAACAGAACCACGAAGTAGTCCAATAGAACTGACAGGAGGACAGCTAGAACTAACATGGGCAATAGAACAAAATTGACAAGCTGGAACTAAGAATAAGGTAGAACTAACGCGAGCTAAACTACAGCTAACACTTACAGTATTATAACTAACACAAATCTATAAATAGCAATGAGGTACAAAACGTTGCCCAAGTGATATAGCAATTCTTTATGTTAGTTCTAATTGCCAAAGTTGTAGGACTCTTCAACAGCTTTTCAACAAATCTTAAATCACCTCATTCCGAGTTCGGGCGGAGAAATTACAATGAAAACAACAATTAGAACTTGCATGGTGTAGATTAGAACTAACATTGTATAAGTTAGAACCAACAAGACATAAGTTAGAACTAACGTGGCATAATTTAGAACTAACAAGGCACATACTGGTCATTTTCTATCTGATTCCGCTCTAATCTGGAAAATCTCAAATGCTAAAGTTGTAGGACTCTTCAACAGCTTTCCAACAAATCTTAAATCGCCTCATTCCGAGTTCGGACGGAGAAATTACAACGAAAATAACAATGTAAACTAACATGGTGTAGATTAGAACTAACATGGCATAAGTTAGAAAAACACAATGGTGTTGTGTTTTTCCCTTAAAACATTTTCAAAACACTATGTTATTACTAGTATGTTATTAATAATATTATTAATAATGTTAATATTATGTTATGACTAGTATGTTATTAATAAATTAATATATTATAAATATTCTTAATATTATGTAATATATTATGTGTCTTTAATAGGCTGAGTTTATTATAGTAATTATAATAATAAGCATTAATAATTTATGATATATATCAATAGGATATTATGAATAGTATTATTTTTACATTAATATTTATAGCAACTAAATTATATGTTCAGATATTAATTAATATTCAACTCTATATTAATTACAGTTTATATACTATTATGTTAGATATATATCAATACACTTCTCAAACTCAGAAACGCAAAACACCCAAATCTAAAAACTTATTTTAGGTGTTTAGAAAAAAGTGTTGCATTTTTGGGTTGAAGACGATTTAAGGGCTGCAAACCCATGGTATGCATACGGAGCACTAATCAATTTGTTTTACTGGTTTTTGTTACGTTCTAGCTTCAGATTCTGTTAGTTCTCATCATCCTTGCGTGTTAGTCTAAACTGCATTCATATTAGTTTACTCGGCCAAGCGTAGCGTAGTTATAGGTTAAGTAGTTCTATCGTCTTTGTTGTTAAGCCTAGTATGTTGTAAGTTACTCGCTCTCGTAATAGATCTAGCTTGTTCTCGCGTGTTTTCACTCCCATATAATTTAAGTTCTAGTTTACAGTAATGGATCTACTGTAGCTTAAATGGTTATATTATATTTATAATTATTTAATATTTTTCAAAATAATTATATATTTTAAATAATTTTGGTATATCAATTGTTATGGTTAGATATTATATTAATATTTTTAAAATAACCTCATTTTATTATAATGTAATATATATTATACTATTCGTCAATATAATATATGATTATTCTCATTATATAATATAATATTAATATGTTTAATACTTATGTTGATGACTAGTAGTAAGTTATCTAATCAAATTTTCTAAATATTATCAGTGTTGTCTTAATATATTTAGTTTTCAATATTATCCATGGTTATTCTTGCTCTAATAAGGGCTACTCCAACTTTAAGTTTGGGCATTTAATAGTAATTTAAATATTAAGACATTAATATTTATGATATATTGGCTCGTTACTTGTACAAAAGGAAATAATCGTAATAATGGTTATTCGCATGAATATATTATTTTTTCAATTAAACATATTTTAGCAATAAATTAATGTTAGATATAATTACCATATAACTCTATATTAATACATTTAACATAATTTAATGTTAGATATTATATTTGAACACCTCGTTCAACCATCACGCTAAACCAAACAAAAATTAAAGCTTATTTTAGGTGATTGTTCTCTCGCTCCTGCTTGTTGAACGTGGGTTAGTCGTGTTATTTCCGACCACTCTTAGACCCGGGCAAAGGGTTTATCTCATTCTTTATATCATAACGTTATGGTTTTTAGTTTTGGCTAGTAAATTAAGTGTTGGATGCTATTGTACACTTACATGAGTTAGTATTATACGTTTTACTAATTATTAATATATTTTTCAAATATATATATATTTATAATTTTTGTATATCAAAATTGATATAGGTTGATATTATATTATATTTTTAAATAACTTATTTATTATTAATCATAATATAATAATTATAATCTAAATTTTTTCTTTGAAAATAAGGTATTGGTTTCTGATGAGTGAATATATTATAATTTTCTTCGTACGCTCCTATTTGTGACTTTTATTCTTCCATGGTCTTTGTTCTATAGTTCTATTACTAACTATGTCTCACTTAATAATGTTATGTCTAGTTTTGATGTGTCTTGACTCGACTTTATGTTTTTAGATGTTTCAGATAGAAAAAACCCCATGAAAGCTGATGGTGGGGTGCAGCTGCCAAATGAATACTCATTTATATTTGTTTTTAATATCTATCGAAATTAAATATATTATGTTTCCTAATAGTGCCTGGGACTGAATACTCTGTTTCAATTGCTAATCACAACAACGGCGGCTATGGATGGGAGCGCTGGAAA